CGATTTCTTCATTAGAGCTGTCAACAACTATGTAATTCACACTAGAAACGTAGATTCTAATTCTTCATCACTTAGATAGGATGCATCATCGCTGCCTTCACTTGAGTCACCCTCCTCTTCTGACAACGATCCAGAGTCTACTAACTTATTTCTAATCTTATTTTCATCCAAAGTGAATTTTTGTTTGTTACCTGACACCATGATTGAAAGGGAGATAACTGTCTCCTACATCCGCAAATTCTTTATGGCTCATAGGCCTAAACAAAACATTAGGATGTTCTGGAGTAAGTTTATGGAATGGAAAGACTCAAACCAACAACACCAAGTGATGAAAACTGAAATTTTAAGTAGACTAGACCATAGACGACCCTTTCAAAATAGCATCAAATCAAACCAAATTTTTTATCTCTTCAGTATGGTAGCATGAAAAGCTGGAATATTCATAATATCCAAATTGACTATCTCAAGGACATGTCAGAAAAAATCAAACATATGCCTTTGTTTTGGAATTATGCCGAATTTGAGCATTAGGCCAAATATCACAATTTTTCCGTCGAATTTCCTAATAATCCCAAGCTGTAATCGGATTTCCAAGTGTCGTCTGCTAGAATGTATTCCAGCGAACGACGACACGTGAAAAAATTCTATGGAACACAATGTGGGCCATATTCTTATGTAGTTTCAATGACTTTTAGCTATAAATCACTATTATATTTTACTTATCTTATATTTTGTCAGTCACTAATTTTGTTTAAATCATTGTTCTTTGAAGGAATTGTCATCAGTTATAATAAATTCCTATTAAAGATAAATACTAAGAAAAGTTAATTATACTACTGGGTATCCATACAATGGGTTTTTCTCCACTTATTTATAGATCAAACATTGAACACGAAAATAGGTGATGCATTTTGCCGCCGTTGTCGTGTTGGTTACTCATGAAATATGGGCCAAAGTTGGGAGATTCATAAAGAAAATTGAAACAAACCAATTTAAATTATTTTGTAGAATATCTGAGGAAACTTCTAAGACATGAAACAAAAATTTGCGTTTTTTAACTTTGACAAAATTCGGTGTTGAATCCTTATATGCACGCATAGGCCTATAGGTTATACCACTACAGTACAGTCAAGTAACCTAATTTCGTGGAAACCTATTATTCGTGGATTTTCGGAAATGATTAATAATTTACGTGAGCTACCTTGCGCGACCTCCGCATTTGCTTGTTTTGGTAAACATGGGTTTTCTCTACAATATCAGCTAGTAGAATGAATTCAGTAGTTTCAAGCAAGGTAAAATGTATTAATGTATACTTTGACAAATACAAAATGGCGGATTTCAGTTATTACCAAACGTCACCATTTTTTATCGGACGAATTTCCTTATAATCCCAAGCGGTAATCGGAATTCCAAGTGTCGTCTGCTAGAATGTAGTCCAACGAATGAAGTCACGTGATCAACTAGCGGATTCCGTGTCAGCAGAAAATTTCTATGGAACACAAAGTGGACCATATTCTTATGTTGTTTCAGTGACTTTTAGCAATAAATCACGCTACGTATCTTATTTTGTCAGTCACTATTTTTCTTTAAGATCGTGGTTCTTTGAAGGAATTGTCACTAGTTATAATGAATTGATATTAAAGATAAATACTAAGAGAAGTTAATTATACCACCTGGTATCCATACAACGTGTTTTTCTCGACTTATTTATAGATCAAACATTGACACGAAAATAGGTGAC